TTAGGGCTAAAACTGTAATTACAAATCTTAGAAGAAAACAGAAAAAAAAAGGTTCATGACACTGGGTCTGGTAATGATTTCTTGGATGTGACACCAAAGGCACAGGCAACATGAGGAAAACAGGTAAATGAGACATCATCAAAATAAAAAAAAACTTTCGCACAAAGGATATAATCAACAGAGAGAAAAGGGAACCCATGGAATGGAAGAAAATATCTGCAAATCATATATCTAATTAGGAATGATACTCAGAATATATAAAGAACTCCTACAACTCAACAAAAAACCAACCCAATTAAAAAATGTGTAGAAGACTTGAACAGACATTTCTCCACAGAAGACTGAATGTCCAATAAACGCATGAAAAGATGTTCAACATCATAAGTCATCAGGGAAATGCAAATCAAAACCATGAGATACCATGTCACACTCATTAGGATGGCTATCAGAAACAAACACAACACACAGTAAGTGTTGGCAAGGATATGGAGTAACTGGAACTCCTGTATATTACTAACAGAAATGTAAAAGGCAGCTAATGTGGAAAACAGTATGGCATTTCCTTAAAAAATTAAATACACTTTCTTAAACTATTCACAAAAATAAACTCAAAATGGATGAAAGACCTAAATGTAAGACAGGAAGTCATCAAGAGCCTAGAGGAGAAAGCAGGCAAAAACCTCTTTGACCTCGGCCACAGCAACTTCTTACTCAACACGGCTCTGGAGGCAAGCAAAATAAAAGCAAAAATGAACTATTGGGACCTCATCAAAATAAAAAGCTTCTGCACAGTGAAGGAAATGATTAGCAAAACTAAAAGGCAACCGACAAAAGGGGAGAAAATATTTGCAAACGACATATCAGATAAAGGGTAGGTATCCAAAATCTACAAAGAGCTTATCAAACCCAACACCCAAAAAAACAAATAATCCAGTGAAGAAATGGGCAAGACATGAATAGACACTTCTCCTAAGAAGACAACCAGATGGCTAACAGACACATGAAAAAATGCTCAACATCACTCATTATCAGGAATGAAAACCACGATGAGATACCACCTCACACCAGTCAGAATGGCTAAAATTAACAACTCAGCCAACAGATGTTGGCAAGGATGTGGAGAAAGAGGATCTCTTTTGCACTGCTGGTGGAAATGTAAACTGGTGCAGCCACTCTGGAAAACAGTATGGAGGTTCCTCAAAAAATTAAAAATAGAACTACCCTACGACCTAGCAATTGCACGAGTAGGTATTTATCCAAGGGATACAGGTGTGCTGTTTCGAGGGGCACATGCCCCCCAATGTTTCTAGCAGCGCTATGGACAATAGCCAAAGTATGGAAAGAGCCCAAAAGCCCACCAACAGATGAATGGGTAAACAAGATGTGGTGTGTGTGTGTGTGTATATATGTATGTACATATATGTATACATACATACATATATATAAATATACACATACATATACACACACATATACATATATGTATGTATATATATGTATGTATATGGGTGTGTGTATATGTGTGTATATGTGTACATATATATGTGTACATACACACACACACAATGGAGTATTACTTGGGGATCAAAAAGAATGAAATCTTGCCATCTGCAACTACATGGATGGAACTAGAAGGGATTATGCTAGTGGATCCTGAGAAACTTAACAGAAACCCATTGGGGAGGGGAAGGGGGAAAAAAAAAAAAAAGAGGTTAGAGTGGGAGAGAGCCAAAGCATAAGAGACTCTTAAAAACTGAGAACAAACTGAGGGTTGATGGGGGGTGGGAGGGAGAGGAGGGTGGGTGATGGGTATTGAGGAGGGCACCTTTTGGGATGAGCACTGGGTGTTGTATGGAAACCAATTTGACAATAAATTTCTATATTGAAAAAAAAGAAAAAATATTTAGAAAAAATAAAAAAACTTTTATAAATAAATAAATTAATTAATTAAAAAAAAAGAAGGGATTATGCTAGGCAACATCAGTTAGTCAGAGAAAGACAAATACCACATGACTTCACTCATATGAGGACTTTAAGATACAAAACAGATGAACATAAGGGAAGGAAAGCAAAAATAATATAAAAACAGGGAGGGGGACAAAACATAAGAGACTCTTAAACATAAAAGAACAAACAGAGGGTTGTTGGAGGGGTTGTGGGAGGGGGGATGGGCTAAATGGGTAAGGGGCATTAAGGAATCTACTCTTGAAATCATTGTTGCACTATGTGCTAACTTGGATGTAAATTAAAGAGAAATTAGTTAATTAAAAAAATTAAATACAGAATTACCACATAATTCAGTAATTCCACCTCTGCTATACAGTCAAAAGGAGTAAAATCAGCATTATTCGTGGTAATGAAAAGACAGAAATGACCAACCATCAATGGTATCCACTGATAGATGAATGGATAAACAAAATGTGGAAACATTATTCAGCCTTAATTAGCAAGGAAATTTTGACCCATGCTACAACACGGATGGACCTTGAAGACATTATGCTAAATGATATGAGCTGTCACAAAAGGCCAAATATTGTACAATTCCATTTGTTTGAGGTTCCTAGAGTAGTCAAATACGTAGGGACAGAAAGCAGAATGATGGGTCTCAGTGGCTAACCAACAAACTTGGTTTTTCACTGAAGGGCCTTCAAATATCAGTACCCAAAGGTCTTCCCACTGGCCCTCATCAACTTTCCCCAGGGAAGAATACTGTCATCTCCAGGTAGGCTCCTCTTCATAGTTTATCCAATGTTTATGTAGGTTTATTGTTTATTGCCTGTAATTCCCTCCTCTGATAAAACTATAAGCTGCTTAAAGGCACAGTTGTGTGGTGTTTGTTTTTTTTTTTGTGCTATATCCCCAGAGCCTAAAAAAGCATAAATGCATAAATATAAACAGGCACTTAATAAATATCTGCTGAATGAATCAAAAATTTATGCGTAATCAATATGTGTGAAGAATGATGCTATTTCCTAATTATAAACTTAAACCTTAAATTACAACATGTGTGACAGTATTCTCATTTTACCAATGAGGTCAGGTATAATGAGATTAGGTAACCTATTTGCAGAAGCTAAGTCACAGCTAAGATTCAAACATAGGGCCTATGTGACTTCAAAGTTCATCTTAATCACTATATTGTATTGCCTTCTACAGAGAAATTCTGTAGTGTGTCCCTGAGAATACGAATCTACCTCCATGGGGTGCCTGGGTGGATTATCTGGTTAAGCGTCAGACTTCAGCTCAGGTCATGATCTCGTGGTTGGTGAATTTGAGCCCCACGTCGGGCTCTGTGCGGACAGCTCAGAACCCGGAGCCTGTTTCACACTCTGTGTCTCCCTCTCTCTCTCTCTGCCTCTCCTCTGCTCACACTGTCTCTCTTTCTCTCTCTCAAAAATAAATAAACATTAAAAAAATTTTTTTTAAAAAGAATCAACATGCTAATGATATAATCTATGAGGTATGGTCTGCTTTATATTGTCCTAGTTAGATGTAATATGAACAGTGAAGAGCGTGAAGAATGTGAGTGTGTGGAGGGGGCACTGAATCCCTGCTATAGTCAAAAACGGTTATTGATGCAAATGTATTACGACTAAGGGTGGGGGAGAGTCTCACAAGACACAGAAATGGTTGGCAAAAACTGTTGGTTAAACTAATTCTAATTAAAAAAGAATCACTATTTTCACCAGGACTCTTTGCCTCCTATGACTCCTGCACTTGTCCTCCTCAGACAGAAAAGTAAAACAGCATGGGATATTGGAAAGTATACTAACTAGTATTCAGAGGTATGAACTGTGGTCCTACTACTGGTATCTGGCAGTGTGCTCTGAGGGAAGCCATATGAAGAAGCCAACAGTTTATCAGTGGTTATTTCCAAACTTCCAAATTTATTTTAGAAATGCAAACTTACTTTCTCATGAAAATACTTGAAAGATTTAACACGTCCTTTAAGTGCAACCAGATTACTAAACTAGAAATTTAGTTTAGGAGTCTACCAATCCATGCCTAAAAATGTAAGGCGTTTGAAGGCAAATGATCATTTGTAATTTATGGTTATATTTCTATATGATTAGTGATTACAGCTGGACCAGCTTTTACAGCGACAGGCAGTGTAGTGCAGCGGGAAGCAGTGTGAACCCTGAAGCCTGACTGCTTGGATTCCATTCCCTAACAGCTTGCTCGTCATGGAACCCAAGTGACTTCCATCAGGAAACCAATATCAAGAAAGGTTATCTGTGATTACAACAGAAACTACTACCCCACAGGATTAAGAACAATGACTATAAATTTATGATGCTCAAGTCTTGATACAAAAGCCTCAAACACTAAAGCTAAGCAATTCTGAGCTATTTAAATATTATAAATTTTACCTATTAAGAAAGCAAACACCAATTTGGGGAGATTTGCTGGAAAAAAGATATTTCACAAGGAAAAAACATACTTCACAAAATTTGACCCCACTTTCTAACACAGTAACTAGTTTCCTAACCTCCACAACTGAATGCTTTCTCTTTCTCTCTTTTTTAAATAAGTTTTCTAACAGAGTAATATTTTGAAGTTTATACATGACTTCTCCTTTTCCAAACTACAAAATACTCTATGTTATTGTAACAAATGAAGTAAGATTAAGAAGTATAATATAATAAAGACGAAGGTAATCCACCTTCCCATATCTATTTCTCATCCCCTAGGGTAAACATTATTACTAGTACAAATGCTTTTTGTAAGTTCATGTTTTTATTTTCCAAATCACTACAGGTGCACCTGGTGGCTCAGTCAGTTGAGCATCCAATTCTCGGTGTCAGCTAGGGTCATGATCCCAGGGTCGTGGGATCGAGACCTGCACGGGGCTCTGTGCTAAATGTGAAGCCCGCTTAAGATTGTCTCTCTCTCCTTTCTCCCCCTCTGTCCCTTTCCCCCACTTGTGTTCTCTCGCTGTCTCTAAAATAACAAAAATAAAAAATAAAAAATCACTACAGATATGATACTCAAAAGCTTACCTCTAGATATATTGATGGTGGATTATGCTCCCCACCAAATTTGTCCAATAGGGCCTCTATATGTTCCTGTGTCAACTTAATCATTTGTTTGATATTCCACACCTGAAAAATAATTTAAAAGAATGTAAATAAGAATCATTTAGAATATGAATTAGAGATATTTTAAAATTTGAAATTTACAGCTGAGACCTGTGAGACCATTTAGCATAGCAATTTTTCCCATCTTTTATTAAACACCTAAAAACTCTTTTCTACACTAGTAGTACAAATATACTCAACTGTAAAAGATTCAAATAATACATGAGTATTCAGAATAAATGACAGGGGCGCCTGAGTGGCTCAGTAGGTTAAGCGTCCGACTTCTGCTCAGATCATGATCTCACGGTTTGTGAGTTCGAACCCCGTGTTGGGCTCTGGGCTGACCGCTCAGAGCCTGGACCCTGCTTCAGATTCTGTGTCTCCCTGTCTCTCTGCTCTTCCCCTGCTCACACTATGTCTCTCAAAAATTGTCTCAAAACTAAATAAACATTAAAAAAAAATTAAAATAAAAAAGAATGACGAAAGTCTCTTTTCACACTTCCCCACATTCCTGGACCCTTTGCCCAAAACTCAACTGCCGTTTACAATTTGTTATACATCCTTTCCACATCTCCTTTTTAATAAAGTAAATATAATAATACATATACAAAGTATACAAATACATATAAATATTATATTTAAAAAACGTTTTTAATAATTGTTTTTTTCCCTGAACAACATTCCTCAAAGTTGTTTCCATATCAATACATACGTATTTTACTGTTTCTAAATGGTGGTCTTAAGGATAGAAACATTTATTTCGTAATATTGTTATGACACTGCTTATCGTCAATGGTCTTCAAACTTCAAGAGCAACCTAACAGTGGATGGTCACGGATAATTTTAGGACAATTTTCAGCTCCTTGATGTTTTCGTGTACTCCTAATTGAACTGCTTGAGAACTAGTCTCCTTTCCTCCTCTCCCTTTAAAATCACCACATTGTAATTCTCCGTTCTATACAAGAAAGGCAAAATTCTTCTCCATCTCAGATCCTACTAATGTGCACTGTTCTGAGATGTATAAATTTTAAAGTACGGAGTCAACACGAGGGAAAAACCCCTTGAGAGAAAAGGGGTAGGGGTTAAAACCAAGACCTTATTTTATCAGTGAAATAAATTCTTGGCAGGGTTCCAAGCCTCATTCATTTATCCAGCTGGCCAGCCTAGAATTCACAAGTTGGGTGGTTATAGTACAGGCATATATTATGTGTTTATTTTTTAAAAGTCATTTTTTCCTTGATGAAGAATGAGTCCAATTTATCTGAGTGGTTAGAGAATGTGCTTGCAAATTACACTGTATACTAGATACTCCATAAACTGCATGATCTAAACCTGGAATTCTAAGGTGTGACCAAAAATGAACAGCATCAATATAATACACACTAGAGATTAAGACCTTTTAAACTACCGAAAGTTATAATTTAAAAATGTGAGGTAATTAAAAAATGTACAAGAGGGTATAGATAGATGAACAAGGAGGGGGCTTCAGGACCCTTGGTTTATTTAATAATTCTCTTCCTAGAGGATATTCAGATTATTCCATTTTTCTCAACTTCAAACAATGCTTCAATGAATAGTTCTGAACTGCCTTTCTGGGCACAGGTTTCAGTTTCCCTTTTAGATATCAATGCATAGAATTCCTGAATTGAATGTTATGTGCATTTAAAAATTTAATAAATGTGTCAAATGGTTTTCCAATAGAAAAAAAGTCCCAAGTCATATTCCTACTAGGAGGGTATGAGTCCATACTTTTCCCTATAATCCCACCAACACTGGGTCTTATCAAACTTTGAAACGTTTGCCAATTTGAAGGGGGAAAGGTGATCTTGTTGTTTCAATCTGTATTTCCCAGAAAACCATTTTTCATGTTTATTGGACATTTACATTTCTTTTTGGAAAATTCCCTATCCATATTCTTTCTTTCATTCTATTTTTTTCTTGTTGATTTATAGATACCCTATGTTCTAGATATTTTATATATTAACCCTATTCTCCTCCAAATGTTGCGGTTTTTTTCATGTTTTTCACATTATGCCTCATTTGTCATACAAAGTCCTGCTACTCAAAAGTGGTCCATAGACTAGCAGCAGCATAATCTTCCAGAAGCATGTTATACATGCAAAATCTCAGAATTTGAGAAGCAATGACAGAAGTTTCCTTTTCTTTCTATTGTCAGATATCGTATTATTTTCCTTTACGACTCCTTGGCTAATTTTTCATATCCCCCAAAAAGCATTGGATGTCTTTTTTCTCTAGCTATACTTATTCTCCAGGTGATCTTATCCAATCTTGTGGCTTTCTATGCCAAATATGGACTGATGAAGCCCAAATTTTAAAATCCAGCTCTGTCCTCTCAACTCCAGACTTTTTGTCCAACTGCCTACTGAACATCTCCACTAAAATAACTAATAGACATTGCAAACTTGACATGTTCAAAGATTTAACTTCTGGTCTAGCCCACAATCCCCCCCAAAACTTCTTTTTCCTATAGTCTCTTCATCTCAGAAAATGATAACCTCCCTCTATGTTGACTTCATTGACCACTCAGGCAGAAGTGCTTTATAGTCAGAATTTGATATCCTAAAATTGATTATGTTTTTCATGTCTATTAGCTGCTCTGAGATCAGAAACATGTTTTATTTATCTTTCGTTTCCCCATCACTTATCTTGGTGTCTTAGTCATAACAGGTATTCAATCAGTGCTGAAACTAAGATTCAGGCTGTCTTTAGAATAGGGGAAGAGAGGAAAAATTAGGCCTAGTTCGGGGATTCTTTCCACTTCAGTAAATAAATGAAGATGTTATTATCCAAAGCCTTTTTTGTTGTTGTTGTTTTGTTTTGTTTTTTTTAAAGCTCCATAGATAAAGCGCATGCACAGTTAGGGTAAAGAACCACCCCCCAAGGAACGAGAGAGAGAAAGGAAAAAATTAGAATAGAAAAGGAAAATGAACATGAGGGAAATTACAGAACTGAGCTGATTAAAACTGATTAGAATAAAATTTTTGTACTGGGGAGCAGAAAATGACAGGTTTGGTTAGGTAGGGCAGGGCCAGACCATGAATGTTCTGGAATAAGATTTCTTAATTCCTGAAACAAAAGTAATTTTATATCCAAAGAATGAAGAAAAATCACTATGAGCCGTCACTGAAATTAGGGAAGATGAGTCTGGTAGAAAAAATTTGCTCACATTTCCCAGAAGAGTAAGAGAAAGAACTTTGATGATAATTATTAAATATAAATATATTAAAAAATAGAATAAGATATTGTAAAACTAAGAGAAGATATATAGTTTTGGCCTTAAAATGCCTTCTTGGAAAAAATGAAGAAAATCTGTTTCAACAGTCCTGAAAGGGAAATGAAAGAATTACAAACAGAAGCAAAAAAATTCAAGAAAGGTACTAGATTTCCTGTCCTGTTTTGATCTCTTCAGTGGACCACAGCAATTAAAATCAGGCAATCTTAGTAAACAATCGATCATTTCTAGTGACTTTACAGATGGCAAAATTCCCTCCCCCACAAAAATGAATTTTTTTAACGCCCACCTCAGAAGACACCTATGTTAAAATATAAATTAATAAAATATAAATTCAGACCAACTGCTATGGAAGAACTGCAGGGCAGTAATGGCACAGAAAACTACAGCCACTGCCTCCCTTCTTCCCAATAAAAAGGCATCAGGTCCGGATTATTATAGGATTGGCTTCTATCAAACCTTTAAAGAAAATACAATAAGTTATTAATATGTGAAAGCAAATAAAAAAGGAAAATCTTCCAAGTTCATTTCATAAAATTAGCAAAATCCAGATATCCAAACTTGACAAAGAGAATACAAAATGAAAAAAACAAAACAAAAAAACACACAGACACACATAAATAATCCAAGCTGTGAGGATACAAAACCTCTTAAATTCCATTTTCCCTCTCCCTTTCAGTTCCCTCTCCCTCTCTCACTCTTGTTCTTTCCCTCAAATTTATGTTAGTCATTCATCAGGAATCCAGTAAAATAATACTTAACAGGTCAAAGGAGAAAACTACACGCTAGTCTAACAGATGCCCAAACAACAAATAACTATTACCAAAGGTAAAACAAATTTATTTAAACAAATTTATTTAAAATAAATAATTCAAAAAGAGAGACATGGTCCTAAAATTTCAGAAGAATTGCTAAAAGAATCATGGCAGTGGAAGCATGAAGGCTAGACAATCAGTCAGTGGAAAAGATTCTGAAAAACTCCTCTAAAATAAAAAACAAATACAATCAGCTTGAGAAAGAAATCAAAGTTTATAAATTGCCAACCAAAATATCAAAGTTTCTATTGAGATAATTCTAGAATATCTCCAAGCTTAAAGACAATACATATAAAAGGGGAGCATGAGAAAATGATAAATCACAGTCATTAAAATAAAACCTCAGCTGAAGTAAACAGATTAGAGCTAAAGAAAGAATTAAAGAACTAGAAGAGGATTCAGAGAAAATTGGCCAAAAGGCAGAGAAAAATGAATGGAAAACAGGGAAGGCAAAGAATGGAATTAGTAAATTCAGAAGGTAAACAGACAATGGGAGACATATTTGAACAGAAGATGGGTGTAATTTTCTAAAACAATTGAAAATAAAAAATTCTCAAGAGTAGCACAATGAGTCCTGTGTCCTGTCCATGACAGATAAAACTAAATCCACAACTATATAGGTCGAAGTACAAGTTCATAAAAGTTCTTAAAGTCAACCAGAGAGAAAAGAAAAATAAATTACACTGACAGCATATTTCTTAACAACAGTATAAGAAGCCAGAGGATAATGAAATGACTTCAAGAAACAAAAGAAAATAGCTAACAACCTAAAAGGAAACAGAACCCAGAATAATGTAAAAGACAGAGCAGCATGGCAGGCTGATTAACAGCCCCCAAAATATCTACACTGTAAACCCCAGAACCTATGTTACCTTATATGACAAAAAGAATTTTGCAGATGTAATTAAGTATTTTGAATTAAGGAGATTATCTTGGATGGGCCCAAAATGTTATTC